TTCTTTGTTTTTCTTAATCTACCCAAGTATTGTAAAAAAACTCGAATATCGATAAAAAATATTTCCTCTCTACTCCAATTACTATAATACGATGACTAAGCTGGTCCGATAAATTTTAAAAAGACGCACACTCATCGTTCATAAAATATACGACCGTCGATCTTCGTCCCTTCAGCGAAATGTACGAAGTCGCGAAAATTGATCGATCTTTATTTGGTCCTTTTCACGAATATTCGCGTCTCGCATTATGCAAAAACACGACCATCGATCTCCATTCGGTCATCCGTGCAAAAAAAAAAAAAAAAAAATAAAAAAAATAAAAAGCACATCGTGCGCCGTTCATTGCTACGTCGAGAGGTTGTCCTCGCCTGCTGCGGAAACCTGGCCATCGATCTCCGTTCGATCTATTCTCGGACCAGTTCACGGTATACGATCGATATATAAATAGATCGGACGTAGTGTGTATACTCGTTCAACGACTCGGCCGCGTGTTTGTTTCGCGTTGTCGACGCGGCGCAAGATTTGTCGATCTTGAACGGTAGAATTCTACGTTCTCCTATACGTCAGACATGCATATTATATACGTATGCGTATACATCGGCATCTTTTGAACGCGCGACATCGTTCGTTTCCGCGTCGTTGTCATTTTACTCGCGATATATAAGTGCGCGAACGTAATCCGCCCACGCGATTTGAACTTGTGTGTCTGGAATTACACGTTCGATAATCCACGTGCGAAGGACAACTATACCCGTCCTTCAAAAATCGATCTAATCTGTTGCTATTGCCATCCCGAGCATTCTACAGCCTTCATTTATCATGAAGAGCGCGTGGATGAAAAAGTTTTACTGTATCGATATCGCTTTCGCGGTATTTTAAGAAGCGTGATATGATATCGATAGAGCAGACTTGAAATTAGAATCTTATTTGGAGCTAAAAGGAGATATTGATTTTTTTAATTTAATTTGTTCGAATAACATTATTTTAAGTAAAGGTTTTTTGAAAATATTGAATTCTATATTAAATACAAAATTAAATTAATAATTATTATTTTTATGATGAAAAGATTAATAACTGATAAATGTCTGATTTATTCTATCCAAGATTCTTAGAAACTTTAAACGAAAATAAATATACAAGCTTTCAAACCGAATCTTATCGTTGAATGATCGGATAATCTGACGATTAGTGTCAAGATGAAATTTTGCCGAAAGATTTATTTCTCACGTATAAAAAAATTGCTCCTGCTTTTTTTTTTTACTCGGCTAAATTTTTATTCCGCGCGTCTTACAATTCAGAAACGTTTCCAGTACGAATTATCTTCCGATAAACGCGAAGGGAACATTATTACACGGTGCAGGCGCGAGAAAAATATGCGTTACAAAGTGACGACGCGCAGAAGATAGCCCGAAGCCGCCGCGAGGGAGATGAAGAAAGAAAAGAGAAAAAGATGGGACGCGATCCTATCGGAAGTAAAGGATGATCCTGGTTCACACAATCGTGGATCACGGTGATCGCGTCTACGCCTACGAAGTCCCTCTCGATCTCCTGCCACGGATCCTCTGGCGCTGCAGATTCCGGACTGAATTTATCCGCGGCGAGAGAGAGAGAAAGAGAGAAAGATCCTCCTGCCGGATATGCGCAATGATACGCTATCGCCAAGCCGCTAATATTCGCTCTGTTCCGGTGCGCATTTGCGGCGATATGCGATCCCGATCGCCGATTGCTTCCAGGAGCTAACTATCGTCGCTTAATAACAAGATTTTATCGCGCTACATTGATAGCTTATAGGACGTAAGATCAGAGTAACGAAGAGTACATGTCATCAACGTTGCCTTACATTGAAATATAAATTATTATCGTCGTGAATTTGTTGCATTGCTCATTAGAGACTTAGAAAAAGGATTATTTCAATTTCCGAAATAATTGGACAAATTATATAAATCACGTATATGTAAATCGTATTTGTTCCCTTTCGACTAGAGTTTTAGTTTCCGTATTTATTTTCGATCGGCGAAGGCGAATTTGTTGCATTACTCATTAGAGACTTATGGAAAAGGGATTATTTAATCTAATTAAAATTTAGAATTTCCGAAATAATTGGAAAAAAAAATTAGATAAATCACGTATGTATGTAAATGGTATTTGTTCCCTTTAGACGAGTTTTAGTTTCCGTATCTATTCTCGATCGGCGAAGGCGAGAGGGCATTTACGAGAGTGAACCGAAGAAAGGGAGAAGAAGGTGAAGGTGTAGCAATTTTAAGGCGAGAATGGGCTCCTTAGGCCAAGGTGATCGAAAGCGATATACACGAAAGGAGTAACGAGCCGGCATCGTTAGCCGGTGCATGGTTTATTTAGAGCGTTCGACGGTAACGAGAAAAAGGATAACGAATTCCTTGGCCGGTTTCCCTCTCGCTTCGAGATTTAAAGGTCACGTGGCGCATCACCTCGACACTTTCATTCAAGATAATTTCGAGATAATTTCAAATAGATTCTTATGTAACTACAATATTAATACAACACTTCTGGGATATCGCTTTCACGGCAGGGAAAATCTTATGCATTTTTCTCGCGATGCAATAAAAAAAAGTAAAATTTTTTCTGTCACTTCACGAAGAAAAGATTCCATCTATAATATTATGCACTCTCTATCTGAACATTTCGTCGCGAAAGGAAATTCTTTTTTAGAATTTGCCCTGAAAATCACGGTAATCGTGAGACAATACAGGTATATTGGAAGAATTATATAAGAGTTTCTCCGATTATTAATATATCTACACAATAATAAGACATAAAATTTTGTACATATTACTATAACCGATTTATCACGATTATCATGATTTCAGGGTAATTCTAAGAGAAAAAAGACATCCGAAGTACTTCTCGAGACTTTGAAAATAAAATGCAATACGAATAGAGATTTGAGTTCGCAAGTAGGATTTCCTCCGAGTTATTCCACTCTCATCCGCGGAACGCAACGCGGCAATCGATGTGGGTTCAAACGGTTTCGTTAACCTCCCGGCGAAAACGAAAGTCACTGTATGCAGCATCGTCCGAGGGAGAGAAAAGAGAGAGAGAGACACACAGCGGGCAACATTAGCGAGCGGCGATGGTCTCGAGATGGTCTATCTCGCCGGAGGAGGTCGATAGCGTGGCGGGCGACCTCGATCGAGGACACTCGCCGGTGAGAAAATCGCGGATGTCCTTTCGAGCTTTCGCGTTACATCAATCGCGCAGTATGATGCAGAAACGCGTGACGTAACGTTGCATCTGCCGAAAAAATGTGCGCTTTTTTCCTCGGTGCGTTTGTCCGAAACTCATCTCCCATTTCTCAATCTCGATCTTCTCACGTTTATTAAATACCAAAAAATTTCAAATAAGTAAATTGTTTCTCTCGTCTTGCAAATTTAAGGGAAAAGCTTTCAAAAAAATTATATGACTTCAAAGTATTAAAGTAGATGTGTTAAATTGAGATTGAAAGTAGGGGAAGAAAACTTATCGACTCGAAAATCACACCGAAGCACCGAAATTCTCTTTTCTTATAAATAGACGTACCTTGTAGCTGGGAAAACTCGCAATCTTGCTGAAATGTCACACTTGAGTGAATCACAGTTACAAACGTGGTTTACGAATGGAGCGGCTATAAGTGTCGCAAATAACCCTAACCCGCAATCTTCGATATTTCATCTGAACGTCGAAAGTACGGGTTTAGTGAGACTCGAGTCGTGAAAAAAAAAATATTAGAAATTACGGGTATTTTGCATCTAACTGTGCTTAGCCGCATTTAAGTCACAGATCGAGCATGCGTCCGTCACGATTGACTTTTCGATCGATCGTTTTCAGAAAACCAATCTCGATACGTTCATTCGGAACTCGAATAAAAAGAAAAATATGCGGGACGCGAAGAATCGGGAGAAATTTTATCATTTTAATAACACAGATATATTCAAATTTTCTTATAAATCCAACTCGCAATTGTTATTCGCGAATCCAAAGTTTGATCTACTCGCGCGTCTACTCTTGACATCTAACATTTAAGGTTCAATTGCGATGCTATGTATATCGCGTATGTATAATGCATCAAAGCAAACACAATCGTGCCGATATATCGTGCAGCAGAACTACCAACTATTATCATTGCAGAAACCAATATTTAAGGACAATCACGTTGCTAATGTGCCTCGACGAACTATGTGCATTGCACGTGCATGCTCTATAGTCGATACTTTGCCGAGATATATATCGCGTACGAGGAAATCTAAAACTATGCGCCGTTGGTCTCCCCATTCTGTATTACGGATAAATCGTAATATATTCGCTACGAGGGAGAGAGATCCACGTGGGGAATGACATAAGAGACTATAAAATTCAATATATATTTCCCTCCGATACTTCAAATAAACGCCTTTTGTCCATATTACGTCCATAAATATTCAACGATTTTTACAATCCAAAAAAAACAAGAACAAAGGAAAATTGTTGATTAATCGTCGCTACGTAATCACGGCTTGTTAACAAAATGCATAAAAAATATAATCACTTTACGTAACTCTACTACCATAACCAGATTGTATAACAAATGCGCAACATGACCGCGCTTTACTACAACTTTCTCTACAAAGTCGCTGCATCAAAAATTAATAAAGCGACGTCACATATATGTATTATGTGTGTGACAAAAAAATACAACTCGATTTGTAAAACAATAGCGACCTGTCTCTAAGAAAAATCGATAATTTATATATCGAAATTAAATACTGTTATTAATTAAATCCGCTCTACATCGAAAACATATAAAAGGTGGAAAAAAGACTTGTTTTTCCATAAAAATAAATAAATAAAAACACTCGAACTGTCATTCCCTTAGAGTCATTGGACCGTCTCTCGTCGCCATGCAAATAAATGTAAAAAAAAAAACGACAAATAGAAAAGGGAGAACGACCGATCGACGAGGAACGAAAAGGCGTGGTCGCATGCTATTAGTAATAGTGAAGACGTACCCTGTACCAAGTGGCCACCTGCGAGGCGCTCGGAAGGGGTGGAGAAGCGGTGGTGGTTTATCCGAACCGGAGATGTGGAGGGTGGTGGTTGGTGGTGGAGGGCCCGAGAGAGGCGCGTTTTTTTTAACGCGCGGTATTTGCGGTATTCGAAGGAGAGGTGTGCGCGCGTTTGTAGATGGGGCCCCACAACACACGAGACGATAGTAGCGGCACAGGTTGGTGGTGGTTGGTGGCGGGTGTGGAGTGTATTTCGCCCCCGTGCAGGGTGAGGCAAAAGCAAAAAAACAACAACAACAACACCACAGGTCAGAAGATACACGGTTATCGGCGATCACGCGAGACAAAAACTGTAGATATAATATGTATGTATAATATATACATATATATAAATCTCTATACACATATTGTATAATTGACGTATGAATAATACAAGTGCAGATACATATCATGAGACGCCGTCTCAGGATGAATTGGAGGAGCGACGCGTATTGGTTTTAGTTTACAACGAAATGTCATTCGTATCTCGCGCGCCGGTATTTAATTACTTAAATAAAGAGATTTTTGCAACATGCTCATCGAATTCATCCTGAGAGTGGCAGGACATAAATATTTCAATGAATTAATGTAACCAAAAATACAAAATATTGGATAGAAATCAAGTTTTAAAAAATTGAAAACAGGATTCGAACTGGGTATCAGTATACAGATTTTCGCTTTTATATAGTTTCATGCAAACAAAAGCACGTAATCCTCGTGTGTAATCCAATCAATGGACCGTACACTGGTATCGCATTTTTAGATCACTCTAAATTTCTTTCACGTATCCTGATACCAAGATCGTGTGGACGATATATGTACACATGTCTCTACTAAATAAGAAATCTATAAATCAATTTGGCGAAACATGAGAAAATTAAAGAAATAATTCGCAGACTCGGCAATCCGACTCTGCGAAGGGAACTAAAACAGAGAGAAGCGAAAGAAGAAAAACGAAAATAACGAGTAGTAGCTGATCCTTTTTTTTTTTTTTTTTTTTTTTTTTTTTTGCGAAAGAGGATTTAAACGGGGACATTTATCGGGGTTTCTGTGCTGTACCTCCTGTGTCCCGGAAGGCAAGCATGTGGGGCAGAAAGACGACACGCGTGAAAATTCTTGCGTGACAAAGAGAGCAGAAGAGAGAGATAGAAAGACGGAAAGAGAGAGGAAGAGATAAAGATGGAGAGGACGAAAGAAGGACGGAGCGTGACGGCTTCACAGAAAGCGAAAAGCCACACACATTTATTATCGATATATATATATATATATATATATATATATTCTAGTCTCTATTTCGCTCTATAACAGGATTACTGCTGTGCGTGTCCGTTCTCGGCACGCCTCGGCAACAAAGTGCATCTAACACGTGCTCTTGTGCGGTCGTTAAAGTTCTCGAGAGCACGACGAAAGCGAGTACTCGGTAGGATTCAAAAGCGATGACTATCGAATCGTGCAGTATTGTTGACCGAACCGAACGAGATTTCTTTTGAAGTCGGATAAAAGGAAATCCAGTAATCAACGGAAAAGTAAAATTACAGTTGGAGAGTTTACCGCAACGCGATGTGGGTTAACCTACTTTTTCAAAAATCTCGAGAGGCAATCTCTCGATTTTAAGATTCATTATCTGCAATTCCTAAATTATGTACTAATTTTTTATTACACGGATACAATGACGTTTGATGATGGGTGGAGCTGCTTCGCTACTGCGAAAAAGGCTCGGTATTGCGAAACAAAAATAAAAAAAAAAAAAAAAACCGACATACGTCGGTCCGATTAATATATCGTCTTTGAATCCGGTACATACTCTCGGCGGTCCCGTGGGACAATTCGCCAGCGGAAAGCAGCAGAAGAGAGACTGGAATCTCGCTCTCTCCTCGCCTCGAGAATTCGTCATTACTCGCTCTGGCGGCTCTTAATTTCGCGCTGTCTGCAATCTCGCGAAATCGGCATGTAAAACGCGCTGCTACCTCCGCTCTCGGTGCGCAACATTGTGCGTTGTACTTTTTGCCGCCCGAGGAACTATGAGCGGTTTTGCGACGATGAAGAGGTCGGGCGGGTGAGAGCGGGAGGAGAGCCAGAGATAGAGAGAGAGAGAGAGAAAAGAGAGAGAGAGAAAAGAGGGAGACAAGAGGGACAGGGAGCGTCCTTCGAAAAAAGCCTGATAGAGTCCTTGGGATCCGGTGCGCGTGCGCGCGAGAAGCGGATGCGAGCGGTGATAAATGACAGATCCGATGGGGTTCGACCGTAATCGGCGATTAATCGATACTCGGCGATCCTCGGTGAAATATACACGCGACCGCAATTTCCAGCGGGAACAAATCGCCCCGGGTGGCGCAGGTACGAATTATATTATACTACGCGCGCTCGTTCTCCTCCCGAGAGATCGCGGGCGAATTTCTCAACGAAACGCGGCCGGCTCGAGGGAATATGCAAGTACACAAGAGAGCGCTCATGCGCGCCACACAACTCGCGCTAAATCGGGGTTATATACGAATTACATTTACCGGCGCGCTTTCGATCGCGGGAGAGAGAGAGAGAGAGAGATTTCTCAACGAAATACGTGTAATTATTGTGCGAAGGACTCCGGCGCGAGCGCACGTCCGCGATATGGAGACGGCAAAACGAGAATCCGCCACGGGCTTCATAAATTTCCGACGTAAGGATCGTCCGGGCAGAAATAACACGCGCGAGCGCGCGCGCGGGATTTATTGCCGCGAAAGAGAATAATGCGTTCCGTTTTCAATTTCTCCCCCTCATCTTCCAACGCGCCTGTCCGTCTATCCGTCCGTCCATCTGTCTGTCTTGCGCGCTATCGAACAGCCGGGAGATAAATTTGAGTCCGCGAGTGAATCGTTCGATCGTCGTTAAGAACGCGTCGATGTTAAACCGCTCCCCTTCCTCGAGAGGCTCAACAGGCTATTTTCAAGGCCGCTTCCCTCGGGAGATGTTCGCTACATCGGCGAGAAGAGGCTCTTCTCTCCGTTACCTGTACAAGAGGTCGTCATCGCTCTCATACCTTGGGCAAGGACGCCAGACATTGCTGCTTCACGTCCCAGACCAGCTGATCCTTCGGGAATTGCAGACACTTGCTGACGTAGAGCTCGGGCACGTGGATCCGCGCGAGGAGCATCCCCTCGTTGACTGGGGTGTTCTCCGCCGCCGCGAGCGCCTCCTCCGCATTTTGCTGAGCCTGCGGAGTCGAGCAACCGACAGCTGCCTGATTCGCGCTGCCAGGTGAGCTTTGCTGCGATTGCTGCGATTGAGGCGACGACTGCTGGGACTGTTGCTGCTGCTTTGGTCCCGCCTCCATTGCGAGGACCTCGCGGTTCCTGAGGGTTCCACCTTCAGTAGCTCACATCTGAAACATCAAAAGTTGCGTCGCAATTATTCATCAGATGTTTCATCGTATTTTTAATATAGACGAGAAAACAATTGCTAACAAATTACGTAATCAATTTCTAGACATTCACATATATGTTCTCTTACGCCTCGATCTCTATTAATACGCGTTTTTTCAAAGTCGACAAGGTGTTAAAAAGTCTTACGCAATCAGAGAGTTCGTGGAAGAGTCGACAGAAAAATCCCACGACGCGATATTTTCCCGTTTCTTAGTTATCCCCGAATTTTTTTCTCTCGCCCGTTCACTTTTTGCTTACTCCAAAATCGCCGAAGCGATTGAATCGTTAATTTTTATCTCTTTCACCGCAGTTTCTTTTTTTTTTCTTTTTTCTTTTTTTTTTTTTGACGCATTGCGACGAGAAGTAAATAAATGAATAATCGTCGCTCAGGAGGATCGTCTTCTGGCAAAACGTGGATTTGTTAACGAGTGGCCGTAAATGCCAGAATGCAGACGAGAAAGAGAGACCAGACGTTTCGATCGGGGAAAAGGAAATTAAAACGGCGAAGGTCCGCTGTTTACGACCACGACGAGGTGTAACGGTAAAGGACGGGATTACCGCGGTGGAAATAAAGAAACGGCGCCAGTCCACGGCGATTTTTAACGCTCATATAAAAGACATTTTATGTGCCCCTCGCTATTTTCCCTCTTCTCTGCTTTTTTGTACGCATTTTCACTTATTTATTTATTTCTCCTTTTTTTTTGTTTCGCGATGCGTAATCAGAGATCCGAATCGAGGAGCTTTAAGAATCCCGATCGCTACTGCGAGACATCGCAATCTCCTTCTCGGGTAGAGAGAGAGAGAGAGAGAGAGAGAGAGAGAGAGAGAGAGAGAGAGAGAGAGAGACGACCGTAATTTATATAACGCCAGGAATGGCTTTTCTTCCATACCGGGGGCCGTGAAGAAAAGAATGACCGATCCGTTCGAGGCGCGAGACTCATCGTTTTGAATTGATTATGCAAATTAACCGCGCGCTCACTTTCGCGTCGCGACTCGACGTACATACATATATATATATATATATATGTATGTGCGCAGGGCCGGGTCCTCCGTACAGGATGTAACTCGTCCCCTCCTCGCGTCTCTATAAACGTTGAGAGTTAGAAAAATCTCCGCTCGGAGAATTAATCTCGCCTTTACCTGCGCGTAAAGTTAATCTATGCGGGTATTAAATATTTATTCCGATATTTAAATAAGAGAGTAAATGTAGAATTTTATTGTATATATCCATAGAGAAATTATTTATATGATGAATAATTTATATGTTGAATATTGGTAATATGTATTAAATAAAAATATAAAAAAAAAAAAACCGTGAATAAAGTGCGATATTACTCCGTCCTAAGAGAACCTGTATCCTGACAACATTCTCGGAAATTCCTCGATCCGATCCTGGATATATGCAGTTATGAAGGCAACATTGCGAGGGAGAGAGAGAGAAAAACTTTTTCCACCTTCCAGGCATCTCGTGATTCCTGCTACGCATTTTCAAACCGTCGTCTACCATAATGACAAGCGTTTATATTAATTAATTAACTCCTGACTGTGCATCTATCGCGCGTTACACTCGACGCTGTTAAACCGCAGACTCGAGAAAGAGAGAGAAGCCTCCCTAAATCCGAGGAATCTATAATTCATAAGCTCTCGAAAGATAAGATGAAACGATGTTTGATAATCTCACGGAGTATCTCCTTTGAATCGTCATCGCGCGTTCGGAAAGATTTCTATGAACGAGCCTCTGATAAATGGACTTCTGTCCTTCCTCATCACCGCTGATGATGAACCATGGGGCCTGGCATGATATACGTATCGTCGCTAAAACGAGCACCAGGCTAAGCTAAGCAAGCCTGCATCCGTCTTTATCTCGCCGCGGCTTTCACGCGTTCATCGTCGTGCGATAACGCGTTTGTAATATAATTCCGCCTCCAACCTGTCGGATTAATCACCGACGAAATAGCTGACGTCTTAACAAACGCGATCGCTTTCACTCGAAAGTCGCCAAGTTTTATCTCGCAATTCGCGGTATCCTTTATTTGCGTCCGCGAATCGTGTAATCCCGTGACTTACGAGAAATCATTTTTTCTTTGCACATTTGCTCTTGAAAGAAATTCGACTCCTCCTTTGATCAATACTAGAGATAAAATTGAAAGATCGTGGGAAAGAAAATTTCATTCAAAAATTAGAAATAGAATTTCAATGATTTATCTTCCTTTACTCTCTCTCTCTCTCTCTCCTCTTCTCTACATCTCTTTGATATATATTTAATTCAATTTTGCGATTTCTTCAAGTGTTTACGTTTCGACGCGAGGGAATGATTTTACTTCGGATTCTTCGGAACGAGATTATCTTGCAGTTAGAGACGCTTCCTTTATATGTATAAGCGAGGAAGAAAATTAGAGTAAAAGGGCTCCATGGAAACGGAAAGATGGAATTCTGGAGGGTATATAAGTGCGCGAGACGTTAGGTGCTATGTGAGGAGAAGTTTGATGGGAAACCGCAGACGCCATTAAACGTAACCGTCTTGTCGGGGGAGTCCCGCGGACTACGTTAAAACTTCAAATAACCCACTGACCACACTGTACACGTGTGTATATAACTTATGTTTCGAGGACAATGAGCTTGAAAAGAAATCCGAAGAACCGCGCGAAGGTCACGGAGATTTTAACTGTCGAGTCATAAATCCGTTCGACACGTCTCGAGATTTTTGCATCCTTCCCGAGCTTTCACGAGCTTTCGTAGAAATTCACATGAAAGTCTATAAATACTACAAAATCAACATTTTTGTCTATATTCTTGAATAAAGATGTTCTCTTGCCACAATGTAATTTACAACATTTGAGGAAATTATACACGGAGAGAATTTTCCCTCAGAATTTACTCAATATGGGTGTAATATGTACATAATAAATTATTGCGGTAGACATCAATATTTTTTATTGTAGTAAATATTAATCAGAGAGAGGCTCTTATAAAATTCTTCCAATACCACATATTGCCCCACAATTACCATGATTTTCCGAAGATTTTAACTGTCGAGTCATAAATCCGTTCGACACGTTTCGAGATTTTTGCATCCTTCCCGAGCTTTCACGAGCTTTCGTAGAAATTCACATGAAAGTCTATAAATACTACAAAATCAACATTTTTGTCTATATTCTTGAATAAAAATGTTCTCTTTTCACAATGTAATTTACAACATTTGAGGAAATTGTACACGGAGAGAATTTTCCCTTAGAATTTACTCAATATGGGTGTAATACATAGTAAATTATTGCGGTAGACATTAATATTTTTCATTGTAGTAAATATTAATCAGAGAGAAGCTCTTATCAAATTCTTCCAATACCACATATTGCCCCACAATTACCATGATTTTCCGGGTAAATTCAAAGAGAAAAGTCTCTTTGTGCATGCATATAGGTACATAATTTTTAACTCCGATAATTAATTACTCAACGCGTAGAGAAGGGATGATGCAGTTTTCGTATACGATATTTCACAGTAGATTATAATAGTTGCGATGATAACGACACACACACACACACATTTGCTACTTTTTCCAAGTGACGAATCGATCATCGCCGGCCCGATGGGACTATCCGGCGAAACCGGTAGAGAAGAGGATACAGAACGATACAGAAGAAGAAGTAGAAGAAGAACAAGAAGGGAGGCTATAAGAAAGATAATAAGAGGGAACGCGAAGAGAGACGATGATGAACCGAGGAGGGATAGGGGGCTCATGGGTGCGTATAGATGAACGCGAATGGACCTATATGGGTGGACTGACCGACGGACGCATCAATGACAAGACGTAAATCATAGTTTTATGACCCGTCTTTATGTGGCCCTTATTCGTGGCACTCATCGGTGGAAGAGAGCCTCTTGGATTTTTCTGTCTGGCCACCCTGTACTTGCATATCCAGGGCCGTATCGATTACCATCGATCGTACGAAGGTTTGTGCTTTCACAAAATCATCCTCTCTTTAAAAGGTTCTATCGATCTTATTCATTTATTGCTGAAATAACGCGGTACAGTGCTCTTGATATTTTTCGGAAATGACGTTACATGTCAATAATGTCACATACGTAGGTACATGAAGAAATGACGAGATTTAATTTCGTTGCAATGTAATAATTTTAATTCCGTGTTTATTTCATACGCGACGCGAATGAGAAATCACGAAAGCGCAAATGGATGATCGATTCGCAGAGCATTACATTCTTTCGTTCATCGTGAAGTTTTAAAACGTTGGGAGTCTTTAGAAATGACACTCTTGACCCACCCACGATCCTACTTACATTTTTCTAAGCACAATAATACATAGATTGTTTCCGAAGAATTTTGGCCAAATTTTCTACATATGTGTAAGAAGATCTCGCAACTTCGATCCCTCGGTCTCGGATCCGTCCCTGGGAACGCACGTATAAGTGCGTATATAACAGGTACCGACTGCGTGGGCGTCGGTTTACGGGTTTGCTTTCAAGTGACCGTACCTTAATTCGCGCGGTGGTTAACAGTGTGTCGTGCTTAACGGTGATCCCTCGAGAGGGAGAAACAGAGCGAGAGAAAGAGCGCCGTGAAGAAAGAGAGAGGGAGGGAATTAACCATTTTTAAAAATCCGGGAACTGCACCGCGATGGAAATATAACCCCGCGACAAAAAAAGGGGGAGGGCAAGAGGATATACATACACCAAGGCAGCGAAGGACAGCGCGAGGTTAAGGTACGACCCTGACATTCTGGATCTCGCGGACGTGGGTGTGCGCAACTTTGTTGCCGCACTTTTTCGAGAGCATCTTCCTCCCTCTCTCTCTTCGCCGGCCACATTATGCGCGCTCGTGCTCGCATAAAGGGAACGGCGAAGACCTTGGAGCGGAGAGAGAGAGAGAGAGAGAGGTGATGCACGACGACGAGGGTTATTTTTCAGCCACATGCACGCGTGCTACGACGCGACGCCGCGG